GGCAGGAGCACGGCGCAGCTTGTACTAGTCTGGCACGAATCATCCGCTCGATTCACAAAATCCATTTCCGCGCTCTGACTTACTTTTGAGGCAGTGCAGTGGAACAGATCATGCCCCTTTTCTCCGCAGCGTGGACATCTTTTTGCTGAGCACGATTTCATCAGATGGTTGCCTCCACAGATGTAACACTTGCCCTTGAATGTCCCTGTTGCCGATCGTGACTGTTGGTACTTCTTTCTTGACTCTTTAATGTCTACTCGAGCGACAGACTCATCAGCCAGCGGTGAGTCTGCTCCTGCTGACGTTGCACTCTGTGGACGCGACGTCGGGTGCTGGCTGAGCTCATTTCCGCCATTACAGGTGAGCACTCTCTGTGGCACTTCGGATGGAGGGCTGCATCCCGTTCCGTGAAACCCGATATCCAGTGGTATGCCGCGCTCAACCATCCATGCCTTCACATTGACCAGCAAACTTCTTGCGGATTCATCGGTCACGGTGTTTTCCGCCAACCAGCATTTGGTTTTGCCTTGGACCTCTTTGGGTAGTTGAGAGCACAGGATGGAGCACACGAAGTCGAGGTCTGCTTCAGCACGTCTGGCTTCTCTTTTAAGGCCATAGAAAAAATCGTCCACTTGCTCGCCTTGCATCCAGTTGGTGCGGCATAACACTTGCATAGCCGAAAACTTATCAACTGGAGGGTCCAAGGTCCTTAGACTTTCGAAGGCACCGTCCAAACTCGTTTCAGTAGCCACAAGTTCTCTAACTAGAGCAACCTCGGCTGGCCTCCTATTCACAAATGCTGGGAGGAGACCTACGACAAACTTTTCTCCCTTCTCGGCTAGCAGATAAGAAGACGTTGCTGCCCTTAAAGCCGTCTCCCACTCTTCAATGCGATCCCCGCTTCGCAGCGGAGGGATCACCAGTTGCATTGGATTTGCAGAATTTTCCATGATATCCTCTCCGTTTCTAAGTAATATTATTGTTTATTTATGTTGGAAAGCTTTCTACACTGATCATTAACGCGCTTTAAGATGACAGTGAGAGTTTATTCATAAGAAATAAACAATAATATGTTGCATAATCAATGCATTGTTAACAGTGTTTAACTTCCAAAGCACATCCCCGGGTATTCTTGTCTTCTAGCACACAATTACAAATATATACGTGCGCGTGACAGCTGCATGACAGAACTCTTAATTTGATATACTTCACAACAGTATCAAAATGATATCAACAGGGTCTTATAGGCAATTGATAAGGCTTTGATTTTTAATTATAAAATTAAATTGAAGTGACCTTGAAATGCATTTGACCTTGAATTAAAACAGAAAAATTTAAATAGCAAAAAACACGTCACCTCCGATTTGGGTAATTTTTACATATTATGTCCGTCACAATGTTCCTAACCATCTGTGAAAAAAATTGGAGTGGGCCATTTATAACTTTCGCGGCAAACGCCGTTTTCATGCATCAACATCACGCAACCGCGCGTGACCTTGAAAGACAGAGTCAAGACATGCTTGCTTGTGTACACTTTCTGAAATGAATGATTGCTGATTAGTGATATCCCAAACTCTGCGAGAATGGAAATGCATAGTCATCGTAGTCAAGCATTCACGTTCCATAGTAAAAGTGTCTCAGGCAAACGGTATTTTGCGGTGAATTTTGAGCCGTGTGGAAATGCATCATGAAGTAAATTCAACGAAAACATTATCACGCAACGATATCTTCACGTCTTTTGATCTTCACTATACGAAAGAACATACATTTTTTAGTATGTATGGGGAATTTCTAGTTAATCCAATAATAAATATGGCAATTAGAGGCCTGCTAAGAGTAACATGTCGCCGGCTGAGGCGGGCTCGGCCGATGCGGGAAACGCAGCAATCACAATTTTGTGTTTACACGTTCATATTTCAATTGTTTACCAACCGATTTTCAAAATTCTTTCACCATAAGATTGCCTGTACATTTCTTAGTCTTCTCACAAAATTTGACGCGAATCGAACGTGATCAGCGGTAGGGAGCGCGATGTAAAGACGGAACCGTTCCGTTCCGTCCCGGCACAGTCTACAATTCAGGCGGCGCGTAGCGGTCGGCGCCCGCTGCCGAGTCGCCGCGTTGCTGCGGCGACAGGATGCTCACTTTACACCGCTATTACTAGAACAGTTGTGAACCGATTTTCTAATTGCTTGCACGATGAGATGTCCAATTCAATTCTTGACAGGTAGCCATAATTAATTTCGCATTAATCTTATGAGATATTGGCGAAAAACAGGAGGGGTGGGCGAAATTCGTTCTTCCCCCTCCACTGCGCGTGCTAACATACGTTTGCATATGTGCAATTTTCTTCAAAACTTATGAATGGCCCACTCTAATTTGTTCACAGGTTGTTAAGAATATGGTAGGCAATAAAATATATGAAAATGAGCCAAATCGAAGGTGACGTGTTTTTTGCTATTTCAATATTTGTGCTTAAGAACAGAGTTAAGCAAATTTTAAGGTCATATATTTAAGTAGGTAAAATTCTAAACAAATGCTTAAGAAACTACCTAAACAGTAAGGTTTATTTCATTCAAATCAAACAAGTACAACCAAAGTTATGGTCGTTCAAAAATATAAAGATGCAGCATTTTTTAAAAATTTGATGCCCTGTATTTAGAAGACCTGTGGTCAGAATGTGCAAAAAACATCAATGTAATGTCCGGGGCCACACAGGAACTCGCTCACAAATTTATAATGAAATTGCTGATGGTAAGGTGCAAAACAGCCGATTTTTGTTCGATTTGACGTGGAATGCCCCTACGAGCAACGTCCAGTACACGATATCCATGCTCCTATTTTGTGCGCCATTGCAAGGTTTTGCGGTCAACATATTGCCTGTTTCGTATATTGTTCCTTGATGCCTTTGCTTATTTTGTTTTTAGATATTTTATTTTCTGTTGTGTTATCTCTTCGGTCTAAGGAACCGACTCGATGTTTTGAGATATAATTCTTTTGCGCTTCGATTTTGTTGTCCGGGACCCATTGAAATGCCGCAAAAGCAGCACATCTCCTCATCGGACGATGATCTCTGTTGGACGTCGAACATATTTGTTCATTATATAGCTTTGCTTTTAAACTTACATTTTTGTCCTTATTGCCTGAGAAGTGAGAAGGTAAGGGTAACGTCGCGCATTGCTATGCATCGCCATTTCGATATTAGGTACATGCATAATATAGTCGACCTTTTGATTACAATATCAGAAAATTAATTGAAGAAGTCCATGAACTTCTTAATTTTCCCAGTGTTCTTAATTTTCTTAATTCGGAAATTTTTTAATTATCCTCCATGGACTTTTAGATACCTAAATAAATTTTCTGTCGGTATCAGCAAAGGTCAATTATAACGGGGAATATTTGTTTCTGGTCCCTAAAAAGCTGTTTCTGGCACCTAATTTCTGATCAGCCCCAAAATGCTTATTCGACCCTAATATCTGAATCTGGCACCTAATTTCTTCCACACAGCCTAAAGTTGCCAGATCGTCTAGTTGAACTCCGTATTTGCTGTTTGCTGATTCAGCACCAAAACCAAAACATCCAGCACCTATTTTATTCCACGTTTGCCTACCTAATTCGCGTAATCTTCCTGATTTTATGTATCCTAACAAACATGAACGTTGCATTCGGTGATGTCAAGTGCCATTTTCGCCAGTGGAGATATTGATTAATGTCATTTCTAGCCAAAAGAGAATCACTAGCCAGCTATGGTGCAGCATAGCAAGACGCTCCTATACCAGCCCGCTATGTAGAGATTATTGCACCCTCAGCCATTTTAACGTGAAAAGTTTGGATCCGTCACTTCCAGCCAGGCTCTCAGGTCATAAACTGGAGTAAAGCAAAATGTCAACTCTGAACAGACATGCCACGCAACCGGCCCTCTTTTCAATATTATTAGCTTTCTGCATTCATCGTCTGACTCCATCTCGATCAAACGCAGCATCCGGTTTCTACAGGGGCGTTTGACTGACCGGCCACACAATAACCAAAAACAAAATCAAAGCTTCATGCACACTTAAGTAAGAAACGGATGAAAAAGGCACAACCACGGCACAACTCTGCACGGCAAACAACGGACAATGTCCCACGCAAGATCCCGCGTTTCTTCAGCGGCCTTGAACGGAATGAAAACATTACATTTCTTTTTTGGAGCTATTTGATGACGTCAAAAAATACAATACCCGTTGTAATGGTCAAAATCGAGACAATTACTCACAAAAATGTTTCCCTTTAAGCATTGCAAATAAATAATTTAAAACATTTAAATGACGTTGTTTTTTTCAAACAAATCAATATTATTTGCTTACTTAAACGTCATATACAATGCTGAGATCACTACGGGGCTGTCTTAGAGTGTAGCTGCACTGGCAACCTTTAGGCTAGACTCCAGGGGTCATTATACCAGAACAACATGATTCTACCAGCCAGTAGTTCATTTTTCTACTAGATTGGTGCTACGCTCAGCATTTAGGTGCCAGATTCAGAAAAAAGAGTAAGGCGTACCGATGAATAGGTGCCAGAAACAGCTAATTAAGGTCATTTTCCATGATTGGTGCTGGTATCCACCAAATAGGTGCTGAGGACCAATTTTGGGGCGAGTCAGCTTTTAGGTGCCAGAAATAGCTTTTCTGGGACGCAATTAAATGGCGTCCAATTATAACATACATAACAGTGATATTAATGAAGATCAATCAAAAGCTGAACCACATAAAAGTATCGCAATTTGCATGAAGCTGCATTATGAATAGATCAAACCCCAACGAATAGATCAAACGAATAGATCCAATCCAACGAATAGATCCAACGAATAGATCAAACCCACTTGAAAATACGTCCGTGACTTGAAAAAGCACTATTGGAACCCAGAAATGTGGAGTGCGTACGTTTGGTGGTCACGGGCACTGCCACACCTGTTCAAAATAATAAGCACTTTATTTGAATGCGTCCAAGGCGATAAATGCGCCACGTTTTCCACGCTGTCTGGTCTAATCTGTTGTTACTTGGAAAGTGCATAGCCTTGGAAAGTGCACCTGCTATCTGATCACCCTTTTATATCATCACTGTCATGTGTATGTTGTAAAAGTGATCACATGTTAAAAGGCTCCTTTAAATATGCTTGGCCGTATTAAAACAGGCCCAAGATTTTATAATAATGCTTACCACTGAACTGACTAAAAACGGTGCCTGCAACTCGCGGATATTGCGACACTTAGATCATCAGAGAAACAAAGCTATGTAATAAGAGGTGATTATGATCTTTCTATGGACATATTTCCCCTTTTATCTTTCCAAAGGCAACATTAGGCGGGAGCATGCAAGTAAGTTTGAAAATCCTGATAAGTATTATGCTGTCGGCAGAATTAACCGATTTTCCCATGCCGATTCGTAGCGAACCACAATTCAATATTGCAAGAAACAAAGGCTATCCCAAGATCAGCATTGTGTCAACCCAGTTCTCTGAAGCACGAATTGAGCAGGGCCATGAATCGGGTGATGACGCTGCTGAATATCCCAGCATTCGCATTGCTCTGAATGATGAAGAATCGGCCGAAATAAGTCAGCCTTTGCCTTTGAACGAGTCCGTGCACGGTGTACTAGGTGAGCGGGATGTCAAAATGTATGCGTCAAGGCTGCCGCCTTCGGGTGGAGGAGCTTTGAAGCTATTTGTTCAGGCACGAGGTCGACCTGAACCATCAGAAGCTGCGCCGCTAATTGTCAGCGTCCGAACTCGTGATGGAGGTTACACGTTCACCCTACCACAGCTCAACAAACGCGACACACATCCCCATGCGAGTCCAGAAGGCGACCACCCAGCGACAACTCAATCGCCAATATCAGTGTACAGCATGAGTGTGTCCCGTTTCATGTGTCCCTCGGCGGGTGAGCGAGACGTCTGCTACGTGACGATGGGAGTCGGCACCAGCGTCGGGCCTGACATGGGTCACATCGTCTACGACTACGACCTGCGCCTGATGGAGCTGGATGCAGACTTCTGGTACCTCGACACGAGCTCGTCACCGCGGGGCGTCCTAATCACCCCCGTGATGCCGGCGCTATTCCAGTACCGCTGGCCGCTGGACCCTTCTGTGCAGACTGTGCGAGTAGCTGTGGCCAGTGGCGAGAGTCTCGACTGTACCGCCGACAACCGACCCTGTGTCGGAGAAGACTGTTCAGAAGAGAGCGATGCCGACTCGTGCGCCTTCCTCGCAGTGCACAACCCCATCTGCCCTCTGACGCTGACGCAGGCTGATATCCTTTCGTCGGCCTGGCACCTCTCCTTCACCAGGTGTGGTACCATGGTGGTGCGGCGCAAGCAGTTCCCGGACGGCTTCTTCGTCTCCGTTCTGCTGAACAGCGACGATCGGCCCTGCTGTCCCCGTGATAGCTGCAGCAAAAATAAAACCATGACGCCGCGGCGCAAGGTCGTCCGCACTTCAGTCATGAAGTACGAGGCCAACTTTCGGGCGGCCTCCGCACCGAGCGTGATGGGTGCCTTCTTTATTCTCATCGGACTGTTGAGTGTCTGTCTGAGGCCCGTTCTTGCACGTGCTGCAATATCGAGCTCCTGGGAGCCAGTTGCAGTGGCGAAGGCAATCTCATCGCGCATCCTGGGCCAACCAGACATGGAGTCGTTTCCTCATGGTCTCGAGCTACATGAAAACGAAGAGTCAGACATAGGCGTGGTGCTGGACACAAGTAAGCCTCATCCGGGAGACTACACCCCCTATCACAAGTCGGGGCTGAAGGCGGAGTCGGCTACTGTTGCAAGCAGCGGCAAATCGCCGTCTGATGCTGGTGGCATTAGCCACAGTAATAGCTGGCCATCTAACGTCAATCCCAGCGTAGTAGACCAACGGAAGACAGAGGTCAGTAATGCTAGTGGCAAAGGTACATCTTACAAAGGCAACAGTGCTCTAAGTCCCATTGCCAGCCTGCAGGAGCAGCCAGATGCAGGAGCTGCCGGTCCCATGGGCAGTCTGAAATCAGAAATAGACTCTCCACAGCACATTAACAGGACATGGAGCCCACTCGCAAGTGACGATGCGCATGCTACAGTGCAGGTCAAGAGATACAAAGCACCCATCGCGGCTGAAACGGTGAGGTATGGGGATCGTCGGGCGACGGAGCCCACATACGTACACTTTAGTGGAACCTCGGATCCGGAGAAGGGCACCAGCACCCGCCGCACCACGGGAAACTCGCTGCAGGTCCCCGGGCGTGAGACGGCTCCGGAGACCACGGCACGAGTCCCGAATACAGTCGTTCTGAACCCCGTGAGTCTGCAGCTGACATGTGCGCTCCTGATCGCCGCGTTCGGGATTAGCAACGTGGCCATCGACGTAGCCGCCGAGCGGCGCACCGGCAACTTCGACCGCTGCTACCGCAACGACCTGTGCTGCCACAACGGCCAGGTGATGCCCGACCTCAACCACCTGCTCTCGAACGTGCCGTACATCGGTGCTGGCATCGGCTTCCTGCTGGCCGTGTACGCCCAGTGGCACGTTTACGAGATAGCTGGCGACCACGGCCGTGGCGTGCCGCGTGGAGTGCCGCACGACTTCAACATGTTCACGACGATCGGCGCCGCGCTGGCCATCGAGGGCGTCACTAGCGGCCTGTACCACGTCTGTCCCAACAACCGCAACTCGCACATCGACTTCTTCTTCATCTACTACCTGTGCGCGGCGATGGGCGCCAAGCTGTTTCAGACGCGTCGCGGAGTGACGACGCGCTTCCACTACACGCCGGCACTGCTGGTGGCCACCATCACGCTGCTCGGCTCACTGCAGCAGGTGCCCGGCATGACGCCGCACTCGTGGCAGCTGGCCGTGGTGCTCACACACTTCAGCAGCTCGTTTTTGTGGGCGGCGCAAATGTACCTGACCGGCCACGTCGGCCTGTTTGTGCCCTGGTGCTGGGAGATCACATCAGACCTGCGCACGAGGCGACTGGCCGCCGCGCATATCATCCTGAACGGCGGCCTGGCGCTCTGGGGTCTGTTCTGGCCCGATTCCGGCAGTGACGTGTTCCACTCCAGTACGTACGCGCTGCTGTATTTCTCACTCAACTCAGGTATGTATGTGTTCTACTACATGATCATGAAACTGGTCGTCTGCCGGGAGCGGCCGCCTGGTCTCTCGGTGTTCAATATCCTAGTAGGCATCGCCAGCGCAGTGCCAGCGCTATACTTCTTCGTCATTCGTAAATCCTACAACACCAACGAGTCGCCGGCACTGTCGCGCACCGTCAACCACCCCTGTGTCATGTTTGACTTCTACGACGGCCACGACATCTGGCACTTTCTGTCAGCGTCAGCGCTCTTCTTTCTGATGCTGGGAGTGCTGACACTGGACGACGATCTTCTGGCTACCCCGAGAGACAGGATTCCGGTGTTTTGAGCTCAGAGTGGCTCAGAGTGAGACACTTCGAGTGGCTGATTATTGTGCTTGTCTCTAATAAGCTCTTCTTCTTGATCCCCGACGACGCACTGTGATTTATCACTTCGATCCACCTGTTACATGTCTTACTGTCATGTTGTGCGATTATGCTTTCAGAGGTAATCAGCTAATATAAATATGTAGCAAAATAAACCTTGGATGTATGGTGAAACGTATGGTGGAATGCAATTTGACTCGTTGTATTTAAATTTCAACTTTCTAGCTACCATAGATCGGCCGAAAATGACATCAGAGTGACGGCATGTCAGCCGATTTATATGCAAAACATTAAACTACGGCAATCCCTCTCAAGAGTACAGTTTTTAGGCTAGATGTACTTTCTTTGCATGATCAGATTTAGAATAAACTTGACTATGATACTGCTTTCTCCGATTTCCCAACTTGAGACAATTTCGAAAAATATACATATACAATTACAAAAGTATACTTTTTGGTTTTTCACTTTTCGGAAAACCGGAATGTATGTAATAGAACACCCACAGATGACCAACTTAAGATAGTTTTAGCCCAATATCTTAAAAAATGGCCAAGTTATACGCATGATAGTAAAAATTTCACAAATATCGATTTTCAAATCAATTTTCAGCGTGTTTTCGACATCACACAGCAATAATAATAGGACCATCGTGTTCCTGAGCTCAAACTCCTCAAGAGGCAAATACGACACTGTTTTCGAAATCCATGAGTAAATTAGATCATAAAACATGTGTCAGTTACCGATACATGATTTGAATTTTCTTGACCTAGGATGACCTGGCCTTGACCTGAAAAATTCAAAGTACATACAAGTTTGTTAACCCGGCAGGCGGTGGGCCTACCAGCCACCTTCCGCGCGGTGGGGGGGGGGCATTTTTTGCCCCCCCCCGTATCTCCGAAACTACTAGACGGATCCGGAAAATTCAAACGGCGTTCGATAGCCCTGTCAAATTTGTCGAGAGAAACCATATTTCATTGACCTCGGGGTCACCGATGACGTCACAGGTCAGGTCAAAGATAAAATGTTTCACCGTTCACGGGGCTTCTAGGGAAAGCGCTATAACACCGAGTAAAACGCATTTTTTTTTTCGAAAATCAGCGATAAGGCGTCAGTTGTCTAGTACATATGTTGCTATTAGAGGTCACTGGTCATGCCAGGTCAGGTCACAGGTCAGGTCACCAAAGGTCACCAAGGGTCACCACATGAGCCCAACTTTACTAAGGTTATGCGATGCATGTTTTATGGCCAGTTTTTCATTTCCAACTCAATGGTGTTGGTTTTAAGACCATCAGGTACGGTTTAGGTCACTTTCTGGTGAAGGTCAGGTCAAGGTCAGGTCAAAAAAGGTCAAATTTCAAAGTTGATTTTTTTGCATAAAATGGGTATCGATTCGATGCAACTCGTCACGGGGAGTCTAATGGTGGTCTTTGTTTTGCGCTACCAGGTTTAGAATGGCTAAAAATTGAGTTTGAAAATTTGACGTCATCAATTTTGAACAGTTTTTTCGCTATAACTTGGCCAAAAAAGAGGTATCGATCTCAAATTTGGTATGTAGATAGAAGGCGGTAGTTACTATCATATATACTCCGTTTTTTCGAAATTCAAAAAACTTTTTGGATTTTTTGGCTATTATATTCAAAAAATCTAGTTTTTGATTTTTGGGGGTCAAAATCCAAAAAATTCGAAAAACCGAAATAGCAGTTTTGTAGCCCTTTTAATTCCACACCTTTTATATTGAAATATTTTTCTGTATCTCTAAAGCTGTAGGCCTGACAGCTCTTCCCGCGAAACCTTTTTTTGGGTCGAAAATGGCAAAAATGACGTCCCTCTGACGTCATTAGCGGCCAACCTATCATAGCCTTTGGAAATTTGTTTGGTCACCATGTGTGCTAGCTGCTCCCGGGAGCGAGTTACCTAAGTGTGGAACTACCCAGCGCCGAGCCGGCCGGATGACGTCACACCACGGCCAGTGCCGGCGCAGCGGCAGACTGGCCGAGATTGGCATGGTCTTAACTTGGCGAAGAGGCATCGGACGCCAAACTTCTGCTGCAGCTATAAATCACATTTCATGTGTTTCTTCCATGTGTATGAGCTATTAAGTCCTTCGAATACCTAATGTGTAGGTGAGCGTACTACCTGCATTTAGCAGTGTGTGCTATGCTATGTGGATTGAAAACTGGGGGCACATCCGACACACTGCGCAATGGATTCCGATATTGCTTGGCTGATTCTGGCTTTGTGTCTTCGCACGAACCATGAAAGGGACGACGTCATTTTTACCTAAAGGTTGTCAGGTGCACTCAAACGTTTTAATAAGCAACTGCTGATTGAATTTCTGGCGAGGGGTGGTGGAACGTTCTGTTCACAAATGAGTATCTACCTACCTAGTGCCTACCTGCATTGGCAAATAACTTGGTCGCGGTCAATTAGGCATGATTCACGAAGCCCCTTATCTTTTATTAGACTTATTAAGCCCAATGTGCAACATTTGCGTCTTTTCGCGTTGTATCGGGTAGCAAATGAGAAAATCTGCCTCTTCTCCACAGCCCTCAATTCAAGAAACCGTCCTTTTCCTTATCACATTATTCCATAACATAATTTTCAAACATGGGTATCCTCCCGACAAAAAAAAAAACTGAAGCAGTTTCCTTCGGCTCCAATGCGCCGCTCGCCCAGGGATACGGAAGTGTTATATTCTCGGCGGTCCAGTCTGCATTCTGCAGCACAATTAAACTTGGCGGACCCCCAGCGCACGACTGAACGATTCGTATTGTGAGTGACTGTGACGACAGCAAATGAATTCACTGGTGGTTTCGGAATAATTAACAGGCGGCGCAGCAATGAATTACAGTGGCGAATGCACTATTGCAGAGAAGAAATGGATTGAGCAGATGCCCAACCTCGCTGTATTATCAACTAAACATTAGATACGCTTTACATTTTAATCAGGCAATCATGGAAACAAACGACTTGCGAGTTGCGACCCTTCCGCCTTACATAACTCGGCAGAATGCCCCTGAGTCGGCTAAACTACACTGCATGTCTTCAAACCACAAGTATTTTACAATTTACCACTCAGCTATGCAACAGGCTTATAATTCACTGTTCATGTCTCAACTCCTTTTCCCCTATCATCTTTTTGGCACCGTCAATCGCCATCTGCGCTGCCCACTGTCCAGCAAATAATCCGGCCGTCTCCAGTCCTCTGGCAGGGGCTTCCAAACTCAAGCGAACTCGCCGAAGTTTCGCCATTCAATGCGCAGGATCTGTACAATTGAGTTTGAGAGCCTCTGGGTTGGCTCGGCGCGCCTGCGCTGCGCCGTTGGTCCGGCCAAGTACGCGAGTGACGTCATGCTATAAGCGTCATCCCCCGACCAAAGTCACCAATCAGAGCCCTAGAATCGACTTGTAGTTCCACACTTAGGTAACTCGCCTCCCGGGAGGGTACTGAAAGTTTGGTGACGATCGGCGCAGCGGTTCTCGAGATATATTGAAAAAACTAAAGGGGGGGGGGGCAAAAAAATGCCCCCCCCCCCCCACCGCCTGGAAGGTTAAAGGAAAAGGGCCACCTTTAACATGGGGATTGAAACTGAGATAGCCATCTTGTAGCCCGTGTCCGAAAACCTTTCTGTCTACCTCCTTACGGCCGATTTCGGCCTCCATTCGTAGTTATCGGCAATTTTAAAAGAAAATACGCCAGGAATGCGTCCTTATCCCAGGAATGCGTTCTTATCCGACAATACAGCCACCCGCGGCGAGGCTTTGGTTTTTTACCAATCAGCTCCAACCAGCTCAGCTTTAACCAATCAGCTCATCTGACACAATCCGACGAGTCTGTCTTCTGAACGCTGATTGGCTTGAGTGTGACGTCATCGCTATGCCATCATACAGTAGGTGCCGTAGAGAGTATCAACATAGTACCAGTATGTTAAATAGTTTTAAATACTTTTTAGCGAATTGTGCACTTCTGGCACCAGTTTTAAAAAGAAAATGAAAAATAATAATGTCAAAATGAAAAACAACGATATCTTCATATTTCACGAAGGTGGCCCTTTTCCTTTAACCCTTCAGGGTGTCTAAGGCATATATATATATATATATCAATGAGCGCGTAAACACAAAATGAGCCTGAACCGACGTGTTAGCCGGCGGCCAGAGCCTAAATTGTGAATAAGCCAAAATGTTGATAATTTTTATTTCGACTCGACCTGTGGCGTCATCGGTGACCTTGAGGTCAATGAAATTAGTTTTTCTTCAACAGTTTTTTCAGCCGTTGTTCGAATTTTGACAATCGGCCCAGTAGACTCGGAGATAGGAGGAGGGGGCTCAGGCTCTGTAGAGCTGTTGCATAACGTCACCCGCGTTATGGAAAATAGTCATGCGCGGGCTAAGAAGCATTTCCCTACCACTGGCAAGCAAAGGGAGACGGCACTGGCGTTTCAACGTTGTTCCTTGACTGAAATTCAAGGTAACGCGGTGTCTGCTTCCTGACAAGCAAGAGGCAAAAGACGCCCACAAAAGAAATATGTGCCTTTTGAAAATAATACGCTGCAGTGCAGCATACACATTTGCATCGATTGGGCTTACCATATCTTATATCAGGGTTCAATGTGTAAGGCTATTGTGGATTCCAAAACTACATAAACGCTGATATTGGATGCGCTTAAAGGAAATACAGTAGAGTTCGCTTAATAAATCCTCGGACAATGAATCTAGCCGCTTATTGTGGCCACATGAGCTGTTCACGGATTTCTCCATAGAAGTACGTACCTCTAATGTAGGTAAGTCAATGGGATAAAATTGAAATGCGCCTTTTTTAGACGAATGGAATTCAGAACCCTCTCAAACATCAGTTCATAGGTAAACATGACACACCGAATCGGAAAAATGCACCTGTGACTCCTCTGTGTGCCCCTAAGGTCATCTCAGGTCATGAACGGTCACCACCAGTTTTTTGGCTATAACTTTTGATAAAAACGTGCTAGAGCGATGAAACACGTCAGATGTATTCAGCTCGACGATACGGATCGACTGATATGCAACATGATCCTTTTCGGTCAGGTTATGACCTTGACCTGAGGTCAAATTTTCAAAGTGACCTTCCAAGGTCAACAAATAGTTCATTCGACGCGTCTCGACAAGAGGAGCACGATGC